ACAAAACTTCCCTTCAGAAACTATTAATCATCATAATGGAAATGATCATGTTAATTTATCATGCAGCTAATTGATTAATTACTTATTGTGACAGGCTTATTTATGAAAAATGCTTCTAGTTTCCAACCTAATGACAAAATATTTACATATTGTTTCCAGTGTCTGCAGCCTCAGTCCCTCCCTGCCCTCTGTTTCATTTCAGGTACATTTCCATGTTTTTCCCCTTCTCAATAAGCAGCTCAGACATTTTACATCTGATTCCTGATCAGTTTGTTGTTCCGGTTTCTGTCTGAAATCCACAGCAGCAACACAGCAGGTAAAAGTTTGCTGTTTTCAGGAATGACCCTCACACACATCCCTCTAAGGAAAATGCAGTGTGTCTTATGTTTTTTTTGTGAAGCCAGTTTCTTGACCCTGTCAGTCAGTCTGTTGTGAAATAAGATCCCGGTGCTTTTTGAAATGATCGTCTTGGCTGATTAACCCAATTACATGCCAGGAAAGCACCAGTTGTTCCAGTTTACCTTCCAGCTCTGAGAGCTCTAGGTTGAAACTAACTGAGAAAAAAACTTTTGCTACATTTGCATGTCATTTAATACACTTTCGGCTGTTCCCGTCTCCATCAGCTTTGGCTAAAGTTCTGCACTAACCAACTTCCTGGTGCCAAAGGGTTGTATCAGAAGATTATTTGTGTTTCTCTCTTTTGTCTTTATTAGTTGTTTTCAAACTGCAGTGAAAATGTTCTTGGAGACTGAAAATTTGTGCCGGGTAGAGAATACGAAGTTAAGCTTTTGTTTTTCCTCAGAATACTTTCAACAAAAGTTACAACCCACCAAAACACAACAAAAAAAAGTGTAACAGTTGGAGGCAATTTATGTAGGTTTTCAATTCCTGTGTAATAGTGTAATTGCTTTGAGGTAATTAAATTAATCAAAAGGAGTTTTAGTGCTGGGAATCTTTAAGCGCATCAGGAAAGCTCGGCCAAGAAAGTGGATCACACATGAAAACATCATCCAAGAGTAGAAAGTGCTCCAGTAAACATTTGATTCACAATTAGCTGTATGTTAATCATGTGCATCATTTCCTCTTAAATTTGTTTTTTAAAGTTTTTATTCTGAACACAGTGCACTGCAAAAACACAAAATCTTAAAGAGTATTTTTCTCTAGTTTCTAGTACAAATATCTCAGTGCACCTGAAAAAATAAAAAAACTAACTTACAAACAACTTTTAAGCAAGATACAAGAGTTTGTTTTAAGTCATATTAATTCATTAATATGGAAGAAATTAATCACAACAAGACAAAATAAAGGAATTATTTACATAAAACAAGCTCCCATATCTTGCTAAAAAGTTACTTGTAAGTTAGTCTTATTTGAAGGGTACTGAGATATTTGCACCTTTTTGTGTGTTTTTTGCAGTGTTTTTGTTTAATGGTCTGCTCAAGGTCATACATACTCTTAAGATAGAAAGATCTACTGTGTCTATCTCAGTCTGGTAAAAGGCCTCTGTGTTTTTCTTGGCTCTCCTCTGAGTTTCTCCTATTTTCAGTCCTGCTATCTTTAGTCTCTCTTCTCAGATTAAAAACAGAAGAACTTCTTTGTTAATGACGCTGAAAAATCACTGTTGACAGGAATCAAGCCACGCCCAGCTGCTGCTAGTGTTTCAGTCTTTAGTCACCTAATCATTATGTTGTTTCACGGGAATGTGTCTCAAATGTCACGTCATTAAACAAAACACAAAGGATATGACAGACGGACAAAGAGCTTTGTTTTAGCTCCTCTACACTAACACCAGCATCATTTTCAACCCATTCTTCTTACATCCTTCTTAATTGAAGTAAATTAACTTACTTTATTAAAGTAAATTAGTTTGTTAATTTACTTTAAGTACTAACAATATTGTTGTCTTAGTTACATTATTTAAATATGTGGAAAACCAAGGGGAGGAAAGAACGGGGAATGTCCCACCAATTCCTTCAAGAGATGTGACATTTTTCTTTTAGTGCGAAAGTTAAGTATTAAACAAATCAACACTTTCTCAGAAAATCTATTTCTAAAGGACCAATCCACACATGCAAAACCATCCACACATCATAAGCCAAGAGTTACAATAATAAGTAGCTGGCACCATGGTTTCTAGACACATTCACTGCATAAGACTCCACTGCTGAAGAAAATGCACATTGGAGCTTATTTAATAAGCTCCAATCTGCAGAATGAGCCAGTAAAAAAAATTGGACAAAAAGTAGGAAACAAAGCATGTAGAAATACTACAAGAAGCTCTCAAATGGCCACGCAGGAAGATAATAAAGGTACTTAAGAGGCCGAGTCAATCAGCTCACTGGGATCTAATCTGAAATCTGATGAAGTGACTGAAGTTCAGAGTGCATGAAAGAGCCTTTTAGACATGAAGACAGACGGTTTCTACAAGCAGCAGACGTCTTGAAAATGGAAAGTGGGCTTTTTTTAATATAAATTATTTAATACATTTTATTTAAAGCTGCTCAACGCTTATTTCATTTTAATCCCAATCCCACTTTATTGCATCACATTCTGTAAAAACTCCTCTTGTTAAGACCAAATAATGTCCATTCCTGGAGCTTTGTAACGTATTCATTATGCCTGAATAAAATGAATGTTTGTTATCAGTTGATCCAGGTGTGTTGGAGCAGAACGTGTCTCTCAAACTTTTTCTCAAAACTTTTCTATGACTTGGAAAAGTCATGTTAGCTAAACTGTGTGAGCTTCTGGCCGGTGAAACCGTTTTCAAAGCAACAGACGATCCAAAATATGCAAACAAACATCAACTTTTAGAACATTTTTTTTTTCCTGGCTTTGATTCACAATTCAATAATTATTACATTCATCTAGCATAAATGGCTGCCTCTCATTTTAGTTGTAGATAAGCTTTTTAGGGGGTTTTGTTGTTGTTTCCTTTCTTCTTTGATTCTCTTGATCGTTTTATTATCAAAATCTTTTTACATTTGCGCTTGATGCGCTAGCTATGCTAGCTTGAGGACCGACGTAGCCAAAAAGGAAAGATGAGCATGACAAAATATAATGACTGGAAAAATAGATTTGATTTTGTACTAAAAAAATTATGTTAAAAAAAATGTATTAGATACATTTTTTATTTTATTTTTTTCCCTTCATTGTTCCTCCAACTCCACCTTGAAAACCCCCAGTCATGGTTAGAGGTTCATCACAACATGGAGGCAAATTCACATTCATTTAAATTGGGTGTAAATCACAAAGCCATTAGTTAGGTGTTTATTTGAGTTTCACATTTCAGCAACAAGGCAGTTCAAAGTGGTTTACACCATAAAAACATAAAACAGTCACCAATTATGACACAAACAAACATTACAGTTTGTCAAATGCCATCAAACTTTGGAGCAGTGACAAATAATTTGTCTTTTTCTGGTTATCCATTTTCAGGTCTCATATTTCCAGGATGGTGGGGGGAAAGATTTACAGGTTTTAGTTTAATTACCAGGAAGATAACTCACCACATAAACCCTTCCTAGTTCTTGTAGAAGGTGATTCCAAAAATATTTCATCTCATTTTTTCAGTCTTTCCTTTTTCCTTCCACTTAACAGGTTTCCTCATTTCAGTAAAAGCAGAATGCGTAGTCGGTTCTCAGAAACAAAATGTGTGTAAAAGAAGCCAAAGTGCAAAGAAAGACCTTTGGAAAGTTTGGAGAACAGTTGATTAAGATCGCCTTAAAATCCTAGGAATGTCTGGCTGTTTCTCAGAAGAGCAAGCTTGTACTGGTCCCAAATCTTCAAGGCGTCAAGGAAAGTGTGTCGTATTGGGAAAAAAAATAAAAAGAATCTGCAGTTTTGAGTTTGATAATTGAGAAATGAAATAGAGAATCAGTTCGTTCACATTGGCCTTCCTTAGCTCTGGCAGGTTCACATGGAAAATCATTTTAATTAATCCAGGAAGTTTGTTTCCAAAAACAACATGCATTTGAAAGAAATATATCATTAAAAACTGGCATGTTATAAATAATATTCAGTGGGAAAATAATTGACGTTACATGAATTAAACCTTTACTGTTGCCGAGCAGCTTGTTGTGTATTTCCATTGCGACAGATATTTTATCTCTGTTGATTAGCTCCAAATGTTTGAGGAAGGCCCCCTAATCATCATCCTCGTCATTTGATCCACAGATTAGATTAAAATCTGGGCTTTGACTGGGCCACCAAAGTATGCTAGTATGTTTCCAGTCAGTAGAAACATGTTAGTAAATCAATAACAATTTGTCAGCTGAAGCCTTAAATCTTTTATGACATGCCAATTTAATAAAATGTAAATAAAATTGCATTTCCTTCAAATGTTTTGCTTAATCAAAAGATCACAACACAGTGATTATTTTTATTTTATTATTGCAAAAATGTTATTGTTTGTGTATTTTATTATTTTTATTTTTACAGTTCTCTTTCCTTTTTCAAACTCAACTCAAAAACAAAGTTTGTTTTTACATTTTGCTTCCAAGAAGTCATTGAAGCGTACTTTCCTTGATGGGTGTTAAGAACTGGAACCAGTTCATCCCAATCATCTTGGGATTTTAAGATGATTTTATTTTAAATTATTATTTCAGTTTTACTTAGACGGTAACAAGGAGGTTGGAACATTTAAAAGACAATAGCTAATAGCATTCAAAGTTTTCATAAATATACATTTGAAAAGTTGCATTTGGATTCAGCATTAAGGAAACAATTTTCATCTTTTGAAACACATATATAAACACATATAAACACACATATCCAGATAAGCCAACGAGTATTTACATCTTTAGCAAACAACACCGTAATGGGACTACAGATGGAAATCAGTATTTTTGCAAAATCTGATATGGAATTTATCTGATAGTGTCAGAAAAAAACAATTAAATTCAATAAATCACATTAAGATTTTTACTGAGACTTTATGAAATATAAAAGAAATTAAAGGGCAGTGAAGCCGTCCTCCACCTTTCTGTTGTTGTTTTTGTTGCTGCATAACTTCCTTACCCACTGGCTCCACCCGGGAAGTTCCACTGACATCATCAGGAAGATGAGTCCTTTAAAACGACTCCTCTCTCACTTCTTGCCACTCAACAACCAAACTGCTCTTGCTGCTGCTGCAACACACAAACATCAACATCATGGCTTTACTGGTTTCTGATGATCAGAACCGCCGAAGGATCAAGGAAGTTGAGAACTCCTTTGGTCCTTCAGCGCCAGAGCTTTTCACACCAGGTCGATTTCTGAAAGGAGAGGGGACCCTGATGAAGCAGGGCCGCAAGAAGTGGGATCAGAAAATGTTCTTCCTCTTCAACGATATCCTGGTTTACAGCAGCATCATCATGAACAACCGCTGGTACAAGAACCCCAAGATCATCCCGTTAAGTAAGTCACACACATGAATTCAGGAGTAAATTCAGACAGCAGCCAAACTGTTCATGGGTGCAGTGTGTTAAGATTGTACAATCATTGTGTCATTTCAGAGGACATCATGCTGGAGGACATGGAGGACTCTGACGATGTGAAGCACCAGTGGCTGATCTGCACACCTCGCAAGTCCTTCCACGTGTCGGCCTCCTCCGACGAGGAGAAGAAAGCCTGGATGCAGCACATCGAGGCCTGTCAGCAGAGCCTGCTGCAGGAGTCGGTCCTCCCAACGAAGACAACCTACGCCAAATCCTGGATCCCCGACCGAGTCGCTCAGAAGTGCATGCGCTGCCTCGCCACGTTCACCGCCATCAACGGCGACATCACTGCAGAAAGTGCGGCTTCGTGGTGTGCAACGCGTGCTCCAAGGGCCGGGCCCTCATCCAGCACATCAACCCCAACAAACCGCTGAGGGTCTGCAAAGTCTGCAACAAAACGGAGGATGACAAGAATTTCCGTCTGAGGGGAGGCAGCTCCGGTTTGTGGGATGATTCAGAAGAAACATCCAGTGATGAGGAGTGAACACTGACCAATCCTCCCGTAGTAACCACATTGTAGGTTGACATTGACATGGTGTGACAGAAACCTAAAGTCACTTGTCCCTCTCCTCTGGAGAAAATGTAGCCACTAAACGGTACAGAGTTGATATTCAGAGAGAATCTGAATCCCTGCATGTGTGGAAGAATTGATCAGAACAGAGCAGGTGTCAGCCGTCACCTGAGTTTAACATCAATGTGTTGATAAGACCTGCTGGACTGGAGGAGAGCAACACAACCGCTACACAAGTGTTGGACTCTTGATCGATTAAGATCAGATGGAAATAAAGAAGCTGCTGTAGAAGACAGAAAGTCATAAAGTATTTGAAAAGTAAATAATGAAAATATTGTAATATATGTATATATAATTTTATCACTGTGCTCAAACTGTAGTGTTTTGTATGTATGTGAAGTACGTTTTTGTTCATGCTTACTGTTAAGCAGCTTGTTGTCAAACCGCTGCTGCAACTTTATCAATACAAATAAATGGTCAGTAAATGTAAAGAGTTTCCGTTCAGACCATTTTTTATTTATTTATTCATTTTTGTCTAAAGTTTGTTAAATTATTAATTCTACTGCATCAGATTCAATTGTGCACATTGTTTCAGTCAAGCTGTGGCATGCATTCATTTTTAAATATAAAAAAATGTAAAATGCAAACAGTGCTGGGAATGTTGCAACATACAGTGCCTTCATAACATAATATAATCATACACCTCTCCCCCCAAATTATATATATATATATATATATATATATATATATATATATATATATATACACACACACACGCACGCGGTATGCATTAGTCCTTTAAACACAAATATAACAAAAATGACAAATTTAGGTTTAAATTTATTTTGCTAACCTTTGGCTAAACTGTTAATATTAGAAGAAAACCTGAGACTCCGACTTGAATCTGATAGAGAATCTGCGGGTAGAGCTAGATCAGCTTTGAGCTCATTAACAGTGATAAACAGTCTAAAAATACCGGTGAAAATATGCAAAAAGCTGCTCAGCAACAAAAATATTTAATAAAAAGTAGCATTTTCTTCAAATGTTATGCCACTCTTGCATTGTTTCATTATCTTTTGATAATGAAACAATGCCTGTGTCATTATCTCTTGATATCAAACTTCCTGGTTTAACAAAAATAATTTTCCATCTAAATCTGCCAGAGGAAACAATGACTCAGGGTTTAGTCAGTGTGAGAACTGACTGACTGTTTTTTGACTTTTCCACAGTTGTTCTTCTGTTTCCTCTTTCATTCAAGAAAATCAAACCACAAAGTTCTATTTAAAACACCCAGACATATTTTCAATTTTGCCTTGTATTGAACCTCTGCTGTGTCAGTATTGCAGATGACGTTTGTTGTCCGTTTCTAGGCAACAGTGACATTAGCACCTGTTACGTCAATCACGACAGTTTTGCTAACTTCGGTATTTCCCATGTTTCAGCAACACTTAACTGCCCAATAAATAACTATTCTCTATTTTTATAAGACTGTGTCAGTCCTAACCCAGCCATACTGTTTTACACACAGCAGTATACAAGTGAGCAAACTGACTTAGTGCAAACAAGCAAACTTTAGCCTGAAGTTAGAGCCCATATACGCCAGGAGTTACGTGGAATCTCATAATTACTACGAAATTCTGTCACAATTATCGATTTTTTTTTTATTTTTATCATGCTCCAAACTTTGCGAGGACTGACCACCCAGCTCACCGGCTTCCTCATACACACAGAGCCAGCAGCAGCCAGTCACCTTCCCATTCATAGTTGATGACGTCACTCCAACATCGACACGCCCACCACCTGGTGTCAAAGCCGCTGCTCCTGTCGTATCAATAATTACTTATTTCATTCATATTACTCTTATAGAGCCTCAGTGAAAACGTGTTTATTATTATTAACGCTTTGGTGCAAAAAAAACTGATTGAAAATCGATTTATTTACTGCATGTTTATGTCTGTTAAGGCTCAGATGGAACGACACAGAAAGCAGCCCTTTAAACCATTCAGACACGAACACAATGGAGACACAATCAGATGACTGATTACCCCACGATAATAACTCATGGAAAAACCTTACAAGCTTGTATTAAAGCAGAAAGTACGGCGGCCACCGTAAAAAAGGCTTACAGTATCAATTATGCCGCATGAACTGATCAGTAGATTATTGCGAGGGAACGCAAAACCTTTTGCTAGGGAACGCAAAAGAAAAAAAATTCCCCATGTCCCCTGGGGGGCTCCGTAGATTGTTGACCAACTGGGTCAGAACAAAAAAATAAATAAAGGTTCTTACCATGATCAAGATGCAGATCTTGGTAGTGAACAATATATTTAATATTACAGTCAGCTGTTATGTTAAGATGTTCTAAATCTAGTTGTATATCTCACAATTTGTAATTTATCATTGTTTATTAAACTCTGAAAGCTGTGTGACTTTAATATTCTGTCCTAAAATGTGGTTAGATGTGCCCTTTTTTTTTTAGCACCTGCCCCTTTAGTGCTCTCTGCACGACCCTGCAGAGAGCACTAAAGGGACGTTTTGCATTGCACTTGGTGATGTATGGCTTGGATGCAGCTGCTCCACTATGGAAACCCATTCCATGAAGCTCTTTCTTTTCCTGAGCTAATCTGAAGGCCACATGAAGTTTGGAGGTCTGATTGACTCTGCAGAAAGTTGGTGACCTCTTTGCACTATGTGGCTCAGGATCCGCTGACCCTTCTCTATCAGTTTACTTGGTCTACCACTTCGCCGCTGAGTTGCTGTCATTCACAAACACTTCCATTTTCTTATAATACATCTGACAGTTGACTGTGGAATAATGAGGAGTGAGAAACCTAACAGTCCGCAGGCCTAGGTGCTTAGTTTTATACACCTGTGGCCATGGAAGTGATTGGAACACCTGATTCCGATCATTTGGATGGGTAAGCAAATATGGTGTATTTGCTTACCCATCTACACATTCGGCTTCGGTCTCGGAAGACTTCAGCCTGAAAATGGAAGGTGCCATTTTTAGTCGTCTTCCAAGGGGGGTGAGAGAGGCTGCAACCAAATGCAAACTTTTCTGATTTATATTTGTAAAAACGATTCATTCTTACCTTGTTTCATTCTCCATAACTTTGAAATGACAGTGCCTTCAGTTTTGAAGACTCTGTTGCAAGATTCCCTTCATTGGGCTGAAGTTATGCAGACTTCCTAGAAATGTAGTAAGGAACTATTTGAGTTGGGAGGTATGATGCCGGGAATCAGAAAACATGCAGCAGAAGCATTTGCACCTGGTTGCAAAAGGAAAGCATGATGTAAACAAGTTGAAAGATGACTGATGCGATAGGATTACCAATTGAAAGAAGAATTTTTGATAGAAAATAAGAGTGCTCTGAACAGAAACCCTTTACATTTACCACACGTATTTTTATTGAAAAAGTTGCAGCAGCGGTTTTACAAGAAGCGCGTTAACAAAAACATCATAATATTGTCACGGAGACATTTTGGCATAGAAAACGTGACAGGTTGAGCACAGTGATAAACATAGATAAATATATCTGCAATACTCTCATAATGCTGTTTACTCTTTAACTCTTGTGCGT